GGAGCAGGAGACTGTCCCAACCGACCGGAACCGCTCCGTTATTGTTCCCATCTTCAAAGGCGGCTCGCGCTCGGAATGCGGCAGCCATAGAGGAATCAGTCTGCTCTCCATCGCCTCCAAATTACTCGCCTCCATAATTCTTCACAGACTGACTGGCGCTCGTGAAAGCCAGATTCGTGAGGAGCAAGCCAGGTTTAGTTATGGTCGTGGCTGCATCGACCACATCTTTACCTTGCGTCAGTTGTTGGAGCACCGTCACATATATTGGCGGCCCACCATAGTCGTGTTCCTCGACATCAAAGGTGTCTTCGATTCGGTTGCTCGATGTGCGCTTTGGAATTATTTACTAGGAAAGGTGTGCCCGAGAAATATGTAAATATTATCCAAGCATTATATGCGTGTAGCATGGGCAGAATGAGGGCCCACGGCAACCTGTCGCCACACTTCAATATCTCCAGCGGTGTGAGACAAGGATGCCCTTTGTCACCTTTCCTCTTCAATTTCGCTATTGACGAAGCCATGGAGTTTGCATTTACAGGACATGACTCGGAAGGTGTGGAGCTACTCCCAGGAGAATGAATTATTGACTTGGAGTATGCAGACGACATTGCCCTCATCTGTGACAGCTCCCAGACGTGCCAAGCCGCACTGGACAGATTAGCACTGGCTATCAGCTGCTCCGGGCTTTGCTTTGCACCATCGAAGTGCAAAGTGTTCCTCCAAGATTGGCAGGGATCGCCTCCTGCGCTGACACTTGGTGGGGATCAGCTAGAAGTCGTTCAGAAATTCAACTACCTGGGAAGTTTTATCAGCGCCCTTGGGATCGCAGACGAGATCACGAACCGTATAGCAAAAGCTTGAAGTGCTTTTGCTAACCTTCCCCACCTATGGCAGCTGCGCGACATCACTCTTGCCCTGAAGGGTAGAGTGTACAGTGCAGCGGTACTTCGCCTTACTGTACGGTTGCGAAACCTGGCCCCTAAGACCGGCGGAAATAAAGAGGCTAGTTACGTCCGATCATCGTTGCCTTCGCAGTTTGGCTAACGTCTGGTGGGAACACCGCATGAGTAACGAGCGTGTTCGACGCATTTTTTATGGCCCAGGTAAAGGATCTGGACCGCTCAGCACCGTTATTTCCCGCACCACGCTCCGATTGCTCGGCCACGTGTTACGCATGCCATCCCACTGACTCCCTCGACGTGCGTTGTTTGCTCACCGGGGATGTGGGTGGCATAAGAGGAGAGGTGGCCAAGCGATGACTTGGTCCAGGGGAATGAAGTCCCTCACTTCGGAGCTAGCCTCGGTCGGAGCGTCACGGCTCCCTGGTTGGGATCCAAAAGACGGTGAACACGTTTGGCTGGATACACTTGCTGACGTGGCAAGGAGCCGACCTCAGTGGCTTTTGTGCTGTGAGTTTCCTTGTCCCTCCCCATCCGTTTTAGCCTCCCCCTCGATCTACGATCTCATTTAGTAGGGTAAAACATAATAATTTTTTTCTTTTTGCCTAGTGGCTGGCTGGTAGCTTACCGGAACGATGCCTATCCGTTGCTGGTAACTCAGCTGGCATGCAACTGTTGTATCTATTTTTCCTTTGTGTATTTTATTACATGTATTATGTATGTATGTATTTCCTTCAGGTGGCGGGTTTTCAATTTTGTCCCAATGCATTTCTTTCTCATATAAATATCTCCCTGTACTCTATTCCATTAACTTGCGCACATCGCCTGAGCCAATTGTATTCGATTTCCATAACATATTTTTGTTGGTGGCATTCCGTGACCTATACATTCTGACCTCGTGCACTTAGCTAGGATTTGTTTGTAAACAACTTATTACATATGCTCATTAAATTAAGGTTTATGTCACCGTTTCCTTATGCATTAATCAAGTTTTCTCTTTTTCTTTCTCTCTTTCTCTCTCAAGTGTTAGGCTGTTGTTTGATATCCCCGACGTAGCTGCGCTTGATGTGCATGTTGACAAGGTGCCTACCTGTCTATTACCCACTATCTCGTCCATACTGGCTCCAGGAGACAGTTGGTCGTTGCTGGAGGGGACTGGGTGCACGGTCCTTGTGGCCGTGCTGGGCTCGAAGACTGGTTCCATGCAGTCAATGTGGAGCGAACGATGGTCCAGGCAACGCCTTGTGTGCGCTTAATTTCCCCAAATATAGTGTGCTTGTGCTTGTCTTTGAAGGAGTGTGGGCAGGCTCCGTTGATGAAACGTGGCTCCCATCCACATGCTTCCCGGTCTTATTCCTTCGGGTTTACACTGGATATGGGGTGTGTGGATGGAGCTGTGCGTGGTGCAGCGCAAGCCACCTATGGTCGCTCTGTAGGCCCAGGCGTCTTGTGGCTTGCCACAGTGACATGCAAATCCGAAACCGGATGCCACCAGCCATTTCCATCATGTATTGCGGCACAAAAGCGGAGGTGTTTTCCCACCTCTAGCTGATGTGTTTGTATAATGATGATATCAACTACGGCTGGGAAGAAGTCAATACTAATGTGCCTTAAAACCATAACAATAAAGATCCTGCTCTTTTCGTTAGCATAGTTTGTTTTTAACCTCTTCGATGACTGGAAGAGAAATTGAATTGGGGCCAGCAAAGCGATGCGTCTGAACCCTTACAAAATTACTAGATTTTTGGTTAGAAACATATCCGCGTTATCCAAATATTTTTTGTTTAAAATTTACCTGCAGGTTAAAAAATTGCTGTGCTGTGATTGTACCTACAAGAGATAACAGTTAACAGTATAATCATTTACTAAACCATATTCATCTTTCTCGCCATATCCTCAGCATTTAGTCAAAGGAATCAACGCGAAATCCTGATACGCATTTGTATTCCTAATTTACATGTATATGTCAAATGGTGCGACAGAAAGCGAGTAAGGGATGAGAAAACTTTCCCAATTATCCACCATATGAATTAATAGAATTTATGCTGTTCAACCTGTAGCAGATATTTCATACTGATATTTGGATCAGGAGCTACTTATCCACGTAGTTATTTACCGATTATTAGGAATATAGAAAGTGGGGTAAATATGAAACGACTTATCTGTAGTAATATCGGATGTTTTCACAATCGATCCGAAGACGGGGTAGCCTGCTACATAAACTCCAGGGAATAGGCGTTACAGGAAATCCTCTCCTGGATTGCCGATTTCTTAAGAGGTAGGACAGTGCGCGTACAAGTTAATCAAGCCCTCTCTGCTCCAGTGTCTATGACTAGTGGCATTCCCCAAGGATCAGTGCTTGGACCGGAGCTCATCCAATAGTAAATTAACCATCTGCCTACTGTACTTCAAACTGACTGCATGATCTACGCCGATGACCTCAAGCTATGGTCAACAGTATCCAGCACTAAGGATGCAGACAGATTACAAGGGGCTCTAGACCAGCTGCACGAATGGTCCATCAAGTTGGAACTGTCAGTAAACCGTGATAAGTGCGCTGTTCTCCCAATTGGTAGCACTGAACCGTACCACATTGGTGGGTTTCTCCTCAGAAATACCACCCACGAGAGAGATCTAACGGTTATCGTGACTCCTGAACTTAGAACGACACAGGACACGTTGAAGAAGGTGGTCACTGGAAGGAGACTGGTGGGTGCCTTAAGGAGATCATTCGCTCGAATGACTCCTGAGATTTTTCAACCTTTGTTCAGTTCGTACGTCCGTCCAGTCTTAGAATATGGCATTTCAGTTAGCCATCCGCTTTCAAAGTTTGAATGCGCTCTGCTGGAAAAGGTTCAGAGACGTGCATCAAAAGCTGTTCTGGGGCTTCGTGATGTCCCTTACCCCATTCGACTCTAGCAGCTAAATCTGTTCTCCCTCGAGCTCCGCCGCCACCGGGATGATCTCGTTTACACTAGGCGCATTCTCCGAGGGGAACTTGAGAGTGAGTTACAGCAATTCTTCCGGCCCAACACTGACTGTTCCACACGAGGTCACACATGGAAACTATTTAAGCAAAGAAGACACAGAATTCGCATGGACGTCACCCTAGCCACTAGAGTGGCAAATGATTGGAACAGCCTACCTGAAGAAATTGCAGACGCTCCATCCGAGGAAAGTATTAAGCGGCTGATAGACAAACATTTACTGAGAATGCTGGAATTTTGCGGCTGTCACTGCAATTGCGACGAACTCTCGAGGAACGTCGTAATGCAACGACACATATCAAACCCAGCATGATACGGAATCGATGGGGCTGACAAGGGACTTCCGTCCTGCTCTCTACAACTCAATGAACTCAATTAACTTAATTCGCTTACGCTTGTTGGACGTAACTATATGGTAGAAAGTGATTCCATCTATCATCTAATTCACTTAACATACGATGAGCGTTCACATTCGCAAGTATAATTAGAATTTCAACAATATGATGAGGATGGAAATTGTTGGGATTTATGTAATCTCTAGATCAGGGGTTACCAAACTTCTTGCAAGGACGGCCGCATTCCGTGAGGTAAAAATAGTTTTGAGCCATATTCCGTCTGACATTAAGATGATAACAAAATGATGTACGAAAAATTCGAAAACTGGACTTATTATTTCATAATGAGACCACAGTCCAGTTGAAATATTAACGCGGGCCGCATTAGGTCCGCGGATGGGACTGTGGACATCCCAGTTGTAGATGGAAATCACTACTGCGCATCCTATCTTGAATTGACATTTGGCAAATTTACCATATGAGATGTACCTGAATAACCAACTGCAAAGCACCTTAAGAAATTTCATGTGCCCAAGTAAAAGAATATTTCAGTTCCAAAGTGGCATACACGTATAAATAGGTTAAGCTGTGTGTACTGATAATTTCAGATAAAATATAGTCGGGCAGCAGCAGCAGTCACACGACTTAGGCCAGGGTTTGTGAACGTTCACCTTGATAGGATGATAGCCAATCAACGTTCGTGGTCATTCCCATTGGCTAGTAACCCTCCTGTCTATTCTGACATTATTGGGGATCCTGAGCTAGCATTTGCACTGATTCAGCAGAGGGAGCATGGATGGATTGTTATTCCTGTGTCAACAGATACAATTCCTTAGACTACGCTGATATCACGATTAATGCATCAGGAATGTGTAAAAAGTTATTTTTCGCGAGACAGTGCCACTTTCGACGTAGGATACGATGAAATCTCGTCACCTCTTAAGCATTAGTCTCTCCAGTCTCATCAAGTCTCTTGGATCCTCATGTTATTTCAGTAAACGTGTTCCTTTATTAGGAGCATTTTTCATTTTATACACTATGGCGGAATTAAACAATTCGCTGAACCCCACCGGGACGATTCTCAAAGGACCTGTTAATCAAACAGTCCGTGTCAATCAAAAAGCACGATTTCAGTGCCGCACGCATGATCGGCACACGCATGGGATAACAAGCGAACCGCAAACTTACCGATACAGTAAACACTTAAGTGTGCAATGGATCATAAACGGATTCGGAGTTACTAATGAGACACTGGCTGCTGTTCACGGTACAAGATATCGAATGCCCGGGCCACCTGAGTATGGTAAGCTGCCAGTATACTTAGTTCCGTTAGTATTTAAATCGTGGACTATTTAAATCTTAAGTAATTTTGTACCCCAATGAAGTTGTGTTTTGTAATCATATTTGAGATATGCAGTTAGCATCTAATCTAACCGATTAAGTTAAAAATATCCGATGTATTGTTCATGTCATCAAATTATTGATTCGCTAAATTCAATCTAGTTGCATTTGTGGGTTTTGCCATTTTGTTATGAGATCCCGAAAGTAACGACCTATAGGCAATATGATGATTGAAATTCCGCGTTAGGCCATTAAGATTTCCGTGGTCCATCTGATTGTTATGCTGATTACAATCAACCGTATTTTAAAAGGATAGCTTGTTCTCCAGAAACGAATCATGATTTTCCAAAACTGTCTGCATATTGCCACAATTAACTTTTGCCTTGGTGGATTGTGTAAGACTTCTAGGTGTCTACTGATAAAAAGCAAGGATTCTCTTATTTATGTGGCGATTCAGACAAAGTGGTTTATCTGCTCTTTGAGTATAGGAAGAAAATATGACCTCACTTTTTGCAACCCAAGGAATATTCATGATTAATGCTACTAGTAAAATATATCTTTGCCTCGCATGATAGATGTCCTCATTTGGTCAAACATTAAATTGTGTGTAATGTAGTAAAAACGGAGTGACTTCAAATCACAGCTACAAGTTGGTTTTTACTAAAGTGCTTCGTGTGGCTCGATTTGGGGAAAGGAAGCCACTCACTTCGAAATTGGTGTCGTTTGGTGCATCTCTACTGACTTTTTGGGGTTCTAATGATGTTGACAAATTTGCTTGGACACAGTTGTTGATTTGGCAACGAGCCGGTTGCAATGGCTTTTGTGTTGTGAATATTTTGTCCACTCCTCTCACTGTTTTATTTCTCCTGCCATCGCGTTTTCATACAAAAGGCATAATGCAATATTTAACATAACATTTCTCGCTTGGAATCATTTTTATTGTAATTTTGTAGTCTGTTACTTGCTTCTATTGCGGCACATTAATCTTGGCGTGTTTTCAACCTCAGGTAACGTGTGTTATTCATGATGGCTTGATTTAGATTGGAGTTTGGATTATTTTGCTTGCAACATTGTAGTAGTTTTTTTCAACTTCGCCTTGGACTATTTTTCTCCTCAACAGCATTGGTACCTATTAAATGTAAGTATATATTCGTCTTCATACTCTTATATTCGTAAATTCGTTTATGTGCACAAAGTATTATTGCTCTAACCTCTGTCTTAATCGGATAAAATATGAATGTATGGAGGATTGTTGGTTTTGGTAAAAGGAGTATTGACGCATTCAATTTTTCCAGGTTAACTTTTACGCCATTGTTCGGGGAGTAACTACATTAATTCTTCTATCTTAAGCGAACTAGAGCACTATGTTAATTTTTTTTAGACGAATCGGATCTCAACAACATGACAAATGATAATTTATAAGGTAAGATGATTAAAGATAACCCAAATGTTTACCACTAAATCCAGGAATATGACTAATTTACGTCCAAACTAAAAAATAATTTTTCTTTTTCTTTTGGAAATAATTCTAATACAATATTTCGAGTTCTTGCCGGCATGGTATCAGGTACAATCTAGCAGAGTTGCGATTTTCCGCTAAGAGCAAAATACTAATCCAAGCACTAAGCTAACCTTGATGTGGTGATTGTTGCTAACACTTGTTACTTATTTGCTCTCATATAGCCAATTATCTGGCTTTCAAATCTGTATGAATGGGGTGAAAAAACACCGTCCCATGACCCTGAATATCAGCGCGGATAAGCATAATTATGTTAAGGTCATTTGCGTGCATTAGGTTTCCGCTTCATTGCTTTTCACGTTCAATTTGGCCAAATTAGTCTGACTAGCTCCGTGCGCCTAAGGTTTATCCCTTCGCACCATACATTGAGGCAGTTTCGTTGCTTAGGGGGAAGTAAATAATCATGTGGTGCCGTTGATTTCTGCGTTTTTTGAAAGTTTGTTTCCACTGTTGCACATTTATTCTGTTTGTTAAATTGATACTTGTAACCCTAACGGTTAACGCTCCTAACGATCCCATTTTTGCTTGGATGGTGACAAGCAGTCTTAAAGTAGGCAACTACTTTTCTCAGGTGGAATGTGAAAGGTCTAATCACTAGGACAGTGTTGGTTGATAGCCACATTGCACTCCTGAGACCAGTTTGTCGTATACTGATATTTTCCAGGTAAATGCGGCAACTTACTACTGTAACCCGGGAATAAAGGCCCTTTAGCGAATGCGCTAGTCGCTGCAACACAGCTGAAGCTTCACTGCATTGTCAGGGTCAAAGTAATCCTGCGATGCTGGTGCATTGGCTTCAAACAGTAATCGAAACAACCCAGATTAACTAAATAAGTAATTGCATATTGACTTGCTTGACGCGCACATGCCCATTTTTGCTCACTGAACAGATAATAAAACTTGTTTGCGCATAACGATAATACGCGTGCACCCGTCGTAATATTCATATGTACACATATGTCAGGCTACTCAATAGCGATTAATAGTCAGCAAGTAATTATTTCTGATCCGCCCTGTAATGTATTTGTTTTAAAACAGGCGATGCAAAGTTAAGCTCTTTATATACGCTATTTTAATTCGATAAAATGCATGTATATGAATTTTTGACTGAATCGCTTCCACTTGAAAGCTATCGGGCTTATTACTTCGGAGACTCGCTAAGCTGACCGTTCCTTAATTGCCAGAACTACGCTTATTTGGAGAAATTCATATTAGTCACTCTAACATTGATCCTTTGCTGAATAACTACTAACGTGATCGATTGCATTGAACTATCCACTTTAGTTTAATTGCCATTCCATCCCTAGCGTATATGAGGACCGCTCATCGCAGTATGGATTATCTCATGCTAATCAATGACATTATCGACATAAAGAATTAGAGAAGTAATTAGCACAGTTCTACCGTTTTACGTTGTGTACTCACTTCAAAGATAATTGGCAAATATTTCAACATAGCAAATTTTGAATCCATACTTTGGCTTGTGATTTATTTTTATAAGTATTATGCTATTTCAGTGTTCCAGGATGAACGTATTCTTCATATCTTGGATTCATACGGTAACCAAAATAGAGATGAGGTTATAAATATATATGTATATATATATATACTGCTTGATAACGACATTCCTCGTTTTTATAGTGTAAGCAAAGCATGCTCAGCCACAATTGTCCAAGATAGGTTAATTTTCTCCTATCATAAATCGGTGATTATACTGGCTCATTTGTCCTATACTGAAACGGGGACTATGAGTGTGTGCGTATCGAAAATTAATTTTGTGTATGCAAAACATCCTGTCACACAACCGGACATCATCCGTATCCGTTTCATATGAAGTTGCATTTGCTGGTACGCCTGAAAGGAACGCGTCGCAGATATACTTTTGATGTACTCTACTAAGGGTGTTTAGATGATAATGTTAAAGGCGTATAGTAATAAACAGTCTGGAAGTCACACATTGTCAATAATGCTATGACTACGTAAGATATTGTTATGTCATTATAAAAATTTAAGTGTCTACAGTTAAGTCGCTAAACGTGGATATAGTTTATCACTGTTTGAGTGTGCGAAAACGCACTTCAATATTTGATGCAAGATATTCGGATTGTCTAAACGCAGTTTGCAGAGCTTGATTATCTCACATTACTGGGGAAATCCACTTGAATTATATGTATATATGTGTATATGTATATATTATAAAATCAGATTTATGTGGTCACTTTTGCTAGACTCAGGGAATACTATGTCAAATACGACACAGAAATACAATAACTGCCTTTAGATGTGAACTCAGACGCAAACGTTGCTGCAAAGATTTGTGTTTCTAAACACAGTGTTTGATATTTTAAGTACCTTCCCGGTAGCTATTGATTCGTCACCTATGAGCTTACAACATCAAGTTTTATACTGCTTTGATAAGGCTTAGACAATTTACATCCGGAAAGTCTCAGTATGAATGTGTGACTGTTCACTATGATGTAATTTGTCTAATTTTTGTAACTTTTCCATCTCATGTATTATCAGGATAATTTTACTCAAAAAGAAATTGTGCTTTTAGCTCCACAGGCAGCGAATTAGCATACCGTTTAGACTATATAAAACCCCTAATTTTGCATAAAAAGCAACACAACCTACCCGAATTTTGAAGCCGCGTTTGGTGTTATAGGATATTTAAATATAATAATAAAAGAGGCAAGAACATTAACCCGACTGCCTGCGGTTGCCAAGTAGCCAGTTGCTCCAAGTTCTGACGTTATGCTTATTGTTGAGCCAACGGCTTCTCGTTGTAAATTAACTGTAGCTTTTTGATACAGTGCTACTAACGAGGTAAATATATGTTAACCATTTTCTGCTTATTTGTCTGTCAGTAATCTTTTTCCTAGAATAACCTACATCCTTGCGCACATTAATTGAAACAAACTACGATTGTGTCTCTTTTTCTATGAATATCACGTTTTTACACACGAAAGCTTCCCATTTAGCATTTAGTATTTTATTTTATTTTGGGAATAGATATTTCATCATTGTTTGTGAATCACACGATGTAATAACTGCTCATGTCTAGTCGTTACATCACCCAGGATTGCGTCAAACCTTTTATGGTCAGTAACGTTTTCTTTCAACTTCTTGTTTTTTGTGATTCAGTCATTGTTTGAGATGGACGTGACTCCCAGAAGGCGCATGTAGATCGTGACCTTGCACGAAAACGAAGACAAGACCTACAGGGACATAACAAGAATAGAAGGCGTCAGTCCGGCAACCGTCAGCCGTGTGGCCAAAAAGTAAAAGGAAACGGGATGCATTTCGCCAAAACGCAAAGGGAAATGTGGTCCTAAGAGGAAACCCACTGCCTGGGATGACACTTACCTAATACGGGAAAGTGTTAAAGATCCTCGAAAGACTAGTGACGCATTAAAACGTGATTTGGAGGGGAAAGGAATAGA